GCTTGAGGGGCAGGGAATGAGGTAAAGACTGGGACTAGAAAAAGCACAAAGATCAAATGGGCAGCTGGGAGAAGGGTCTGTCTGGACAAGGAGATAGATCTATCTGCCCTGGTTGCCAGTCTGATAAGGAGCTGGGGTCTCAGGAAGAGAACTGGGACCAGAAGCCAGGAAGGGACATCACAATATATACACTCAAGGGGGCCAAATTAAGTTGCACAAGCATTTCCTAAGTTCTGATGTCTGATGGCTTGTTAAAAGCTACATAAGAAGAGCATGAAGATTGCAAAGTGAAAAACAGACATTCAGGGCCGGCTCCAGGCACCAATGCAGGAAGCAGGTGCTTGGGGCGGCCAATGGAAAGGGGCGGCACGTCCGGGTCTTCGGCGGTGGGTCCCTCAGTCCCTCTTGGAGGGAATGACCGGCTGCCGAATTGCCGCCGAAGAATGAAGCGGCACGGTAGAGCTGCCACCGATCGCGGCTCTATCTTTTTTTTTTTCCTCTTCACCACTTGGGGCGGCAAAAAAGCTGGAGCCGGCCCTGCACACATGGCATCCTACTGATTCCCTACTGATGAACCATGTAGTGATGAACACTCAGAGCCACTAGGCAGACCACTGCCACTTTAACTAGTGGAGTATCTGATAGCAACAATACACTGTCATCCACTCCAGCACTGGAGGGGATGAGACATTTTGCAAGTGGGTTTCACAGATATTGACTGACAACAGAGGAAGGGTGACACTTTAGAACCTGGAATACAATTCAAAGTTCCTGAGAGAGTATTCTCTAGTGGTCTGAGCCTTCTCTTATTCCTCCCGAACATGTCCCCTGCCCCGCTCCTCTCTCTTCCCCACCTCTGGCTCCTCATTCCACGCCCACTCTCCTTGTCTACCCACTCTGCACTGGAAGGTACCTCAAGAGGTCATTAGTCCACTCCCCTGCACTCATGGCAGGACTAAGCATTATCTAGACTAGACCATCCCTGACAGAGGTTTGTCTAACATGCTCTTAAAAATCTCCAATGATTGAGATTCCACAACCTCCCTAGGCAATTTATTCCAGTGCTTAACCACCCTGACAGTTGGGAAGTTTTTCCTAATGTCCAACCTAACCTCCTTTGCTGCAATTTAAGCCCACGGCTTCTTGTCCTATCCTCAGAGGGCAAAAACAATTTTTCTTCCTCCTCCATGTAACAACCTTTTATGTACTTGAAAACTTATGTCCGCTCTCAGTCTTCTCTTTTCCAGACTAAATTTTTTTCAACCTTCCCTCATTGGTCAAGTTTTCTAGACTTCAGGCCTCTCATCCAAGTCACAGTCTCCTTGCACAGTCAGTCCAAGTTTCCATTACAGCTGCTCATTGGATTGGTCACACCACCCACCCTAAACTCCTAGTCCCAAACTCATTGTCCAACCAGTCTGAATCATCTCCACACACACATCCCCACAATCTCCCAGTCCTAGTTTCTCTTTCCATCCCCGCCTGCCACCCCACTTCCAGTCCCCACCTGGATCTGTGTTACAATATACTCCTTCCTCTCACCCAATACCCTGGTCTGGCTTTTGCTCACTCAGCAAAAAAGAGTCAGATGGCTTCCTCCTACACCTGCGTGAGTGCCAGCACTGGGGTCACTGAGAGAACAACAGAGCTCTCAATTCCAGTAACCAGCCCCACATGACCCAGAACAGCTTCAACCCTGTAGCCATGGGATGGAACATGCTCAGTCACTCCATGGAATGGCACATACAGAGTCTGGTCAACATTAGGAACTGAGAGCTGGAGCATGCACAGTGAGAACAATTCTCAGATTTTAGCTGCCATGAATTCTTGGAGCATGTGCAAAGAGTTCTCACAGGCTTATAAATTGGCCAAATTTGGGGAGATTTTCATGGAACAGCAAAAGAACATCCCTGACACAAAGGCCATCTCCCTGCCAAATTTCAAGTCCCTGCTCTTAAGTATAGGAGTGGCTGAAGCGTCTCAAAGAAAAGATCAGACTTTTTAAATTGGCAATTCAATGTATTTTACCTTAGCCCCTTTCCCCAAAACTTCTGTGAGGCAGACACCTGGCATGGAAATTTTCAACCCAAACTATTAAAGTTCAGCAAAGTTTTAAGCAACTGAAAACAGGGTCTTATGGGAAGTGTCAAGCACCCTTAACAGTGATCCTACAAGCCCTGCCTATAATTTAGTTCTTCTAATCTTGTTATAAGTCACTTTTACACCGTGATTATTTTGTTGCTCCTCAGTGAACTGTATGGAACTGTGTAGTCCCCAGAAATGAACAGTGCTTCCAGATGAAGTGTCCCTGCCTGGGGGAGTACAAAACAGAATATTTTACTTATGACTTCACACTGCCTTTAGCTGTCAAGCTATATCCTTCTTTTAGTGTGAAGTATTCTAGGGTTTGTTTTAGAAATTATATATTCCCCAATTAAGAGGAGATAAATTTCAAGTAAGAGTCATGACTCATTCTTTCCTACTATGGGTCAGGTGACTTAGCCCCTCCCCCCATTGCAGCAACATCTTGAAACCTGATCTGGCTTTTCAGAAGGTAGCATTTGTCTACCTAAGGAAAGCAGTTTCTAATAAAGGAAGAGTTATCTTAAGTCTTCTACAGTTTCTCACACTGCTTCAGATCCCCTACCCAACTTTCATTTTTTCCACTTACCATTCCCCTTTCAAAGACCTCTAACCATGCTTCTTCCAAGCACTGTCAGAAATAAACAGGGAGCACTGGTTGACCAGAACTACTTTTAAAGGTGAAGCTGGGTTTTAAAAAATGTGTTAATTAAAAAGTGTTAGCTGACATTACCATTTTTTTAATCTTGACAGGGCCACTAACTTGTTCTTATGTTTAATCCTGTGAAATAACTTTGGATGCTACAAGTACAGGTGCAAACACAAAGCTTATGAAACAAGAAGCTTCATACAACCAGTCATTCAGACCCCCCTTCCCACTCCAAATACACACCCAGAGCAACAGGCTTCAGAACTGATACAGCACACTAGTAACAGTCTCTTCTCTTCTAACCCTCCTCTGGCAAAAAGGGGCAACTCAAATGGGTCAAATATTTCAATTCCCGTGAGAGAGCCTTGGGACATTCTCTTCCACAGAGGCCAAGGGTTTGTCCATGAGACAGTTGTACCAGTTTTAAGTTAAATATGTTTAAGCGCTATTTTAGTTGAACTAGTGCAAAACCATGTGTAGATACTCTGATCCTGTTTAAGTATGGCTTAGTTTGGTTTATCTTAAGTCAGTAAAGAATAGAACTAAGCTAAGCTAAAAGAAACTACTCTTAACTGAATAAATACCTACACAAGGTTTTGTACTACTAATTAAATTGGTTTAAAAAAAAACTTCACCTTTAAACTGATGTAACTGCATGGATAAATCTTAATGCCCCTTTTGGATATATTTATACTGGAATAAAAAGGTGTGTGCTGTTTTAAAAATATGTTAGCAAACATTTAAAAAACCAGTCTATAAACAAGGCAAGGTGTATTTTAGCACATTAGTTAGTCACGGTATACCTTAGGCTTGCCTCAACCATCTAGCTTGTGTTGAAGTGTTTAAAATGTACCTTGTCCCAAGTAAACTAAAATTTTAATATGTCAAAATGTGTTAGCTATCATTTAAACACCCACCCCCCACCCCTACCTTAACCCAGTCTAGACATACCCTCTGAAGGAGATAGTAAGGGACTGTTCTCTTCTTCCACAAGGCCAGGAGGGTCTGTCCCTAGGAGATGGCTCAGGGGAATTCATGCTTATCTACAGATCTGGTGTTTCTGCTGCCTCATGCCCCTTTCTCTGACTCTCTTTTCACTCGTAACCCATTCTTCTCCTGGCAGCAGTTAATAATGCTGCCACCAATTCCTTGATGGGACAGCATGGAAAGCTGTCCCAGGGTTTGGACAGGGAGCTAGAAAAGAAAGTGGGTCATCATAGGTTTGGGCATTCCACTGTGAAATTGAATTTTGAGATTATGCACAATTTGGAAATACTGCCTAAAGCCTGAATGAATGACAGCCTTCTCCCAAATACAAAGCATATTTTGGGTGGGAGGCTGCTTATGCTCTTAAAACAGGAAAGCACTTGAAGTCATTGTCCTACCCAATTCTAAAATATTTTAAACTGAAGTTTGCCTTTACAAAAATTCAATTTGACCAGAAACCTACCAGTTTCAGCAAGTGTCTGTAAGTAACACTAAACACCACCAGGGTTTCTTGAAAGGGATATGTTTTCTTTGCATTGTTAACATTGTATACTTTCTGCATTTCTTAGCTTGCCATTTTCACTTCCTGGGTTTCATGCACTGATACAATGCTGCAAATATTTGATTGCAAATACTAGAAGGTAACATTTAAATCCAATCAGTAATTGTTTTCATTGAAGTTCAACAATGTAGGAGCAGTATTTCTATTAAGAATTTGATTTGATTTTTCAGGCTCTAAAACCTAGATTTTTATCATACCTCATGGTGACAAACGTAACTAAAAATGAGAACATTTTGATTACATAAAGCTAGCACCAGGAAGTCTCTTCTAATATAGAGGATAAACTATTTTACATAGAGGTCAAAGACTGATTCAAGTGACTACAGATGTATTTGACAGCCAAAGCAGAGCACCAACATTTCACCTGTAAGTTTATTGAAATAATGAGTTCAGGATTACATATCACTACTCTGAGGGAAGGGGAAATGGCAGTTTAGCAAACCAGTTTCCTTTCCTTGCTCCTTTAACCCTCATCCATAAAATTACTTTTACTCTTAGCCTGGTTAATGACAAATGCCATTTACTTCACTTTATGGTTTCTTACATTATAAATGAAGTAATACTGACCCAGAAAGCCTCTTAAATGAGAAACTATGAACTGTCACTTTTCTCAGACTCTCCACCATCAAAACACATTTTAAACCTGGTCAATGTTTCATGTGACCAAAAATAACAAATGATTGAACTTGTGAAGGTAAAGCTTCCAGTTACAAGAAAATACTATACAAACATAGTACCTGCTGCTTCTAGCAAGGCTTCTAATCTTGCTTGTGTTTCTGGATCCACAGTTCTTAAATCGGTGCCTTCTGCAGCACTTGATAAGAATAACTCAGATGTTGTTTTAAGCACTGGGTTATCCAGGTCTTCTTGGTCCAAAATAAATGACTCAACCTGTTTTGAAGTTAGAGAAATAAAAACCATGAAACGCCAAACTACAAAAATACTATAACTTCATTATTTTCTTAAAAGGAATATTACAGCATTTTATTTTAAACAGTTTTCCTATCAAGCTTTTTTGTTAGAAAATGAAATAGTACTAGAACTACACCATCAAGCATAAGTTTATGGAATTTAAAATGTTTTGAAAGGATTCTCTAGGTTAAAGGATTAATAAAGGAATAGAAATTTTCACCTCTAAATCACCTGATCAAATCTGTCCCAGATCAACAGTGGTGTTTATAAACTGAGTTTGTTGTCTCAGTTGAGTTCCTGAAATGGAGAGACGTCCTCATCAAAATCCACACTTAGGCCTTTTGTGCACTGAGAGTTTTGCAGGTACTAGCTATACCAGTATAGCTAAACCTGGCAAAATCCTCATAGTGTGGATGTAGTTATAACTGTGCTCTGAAATGATAAGCTATACTGGTCTAAATGGCACCCTCCTTAGGGCTTATACCTGCATAGCTCTGTTTGTTAGGGGTGTCAGATATATTACACCTTTAACAAAACACAGCTACACTTATATAACAAGTGTAGATCAGGCTTTATATCCCTGTTGTTGGCTACCTTGGAGAGGCAGAGGATTAGACAAGATGAAGACTGCTATCCTACCACTCTATGCATCTGTGGTTCTTAACCCACAGGCCACTTGCACCTCAATCAGCACACAGATGTGGCCCATGTGACATCCTCAGAGCCATGCAGGTAGAGAGAGAGAGTGTGTGTGTATATATATAGTGGATGCGGCCCACATAATACATAGGGAGCTGCATATGCAGCCCACAATGGTGAACAGGTTGAGAACCACAGCTATAGGTGATCTCTAGATAAGATCTGAGGGTTCTCCATTAAGGTCAAGGAGAGCTTTACAATGAAATATGGCCTTTATATAGTAGCAACTTAATTATCTGTTGGTATATTCCTACTAAGTGATGTTAAACAGATGCTCACCTTAAACACAATTGCTATCTCGGCCCTCTTTTACCTATTCTCTTTTCTCTTCCTTCTAACTCTCCCAATTCCCACTCCCCCATTCCACCCTTCTAAAATGATCAGCAGTTAGATAGTTACTGCTTACATTTAAAGTGTCATCATTGAGGGTTTGTGTTAACAGGCCAGTGAGAGTCATGAGGATGGGGAAGTTCATTATTCAAAACCATTGGTTCAGACTGTCTGCAGACTCAGTAACAATCATACAAAACAGAGTTTAACTGTAGGTCAAGGGCTAGAATATTTTTTTTTTTAAACAAAACTTTAGATTCCACAGAATTTGATGTGCCATTCAGGCCATAATTAGATTGGATGGATAAAATGTTTGACATCACTAGACTTGACATCTTCTGTTAAATACATTTTCCAGAAAAGCAACATGTTTGCTGTATGTTAGCACAAGTACTTTTAAGTGGTATGGTGTGCTACTCTTAGTGTCAATGGCAGCCATCTGGTGTCTGTTCAAATAAAGACTAAACAGTTTGTCACCACAAGAATTTTAAGAAGCGACACTTCTGGTTAAGCAAAAATACAGACCATACGCATATTATGATTAATACAGTTATGTTACTAATATTGAGGAAATATGCTACTGTGAGCAAGAGAGTTGAGAGGTTAAGGAATAACAGCTTAGCAACTACATCAACGTGAATGAAGTACACAAGACATTTATGACTCTTCAAAATATATTCCTACACTAAGATTTTTCTGCTGCTCAACTCCAATTCCACGTTATGGTCACTTAAGGACTAGAATAAACAGGTTCCTGTTAGCCTCAGAGAATCTTCTTCACACTTATGAAATACACTCCTGTTTAGTGTATCATTATTTTTGTTCATTATAAAAAAATATTATTCCTTGGACAGGTGACTTAGCTAAATCAGAGCTTCGGCCTGAATTAAGATTCATAATTGTTAAACTATCTCCGTAACTTGTAGGAAGAATGCCATCCTACATGCATAACAAGTGGCTGTACAATAAAACCAATATATTTAACTTCAACTATATCCAAGAAGTTATGCACAGTATACTGATATTATTTCTTTAATTACAGACCAACTGATCTCCCTTTTGAAGATATACTAAACAAGATGAATGTTTTAGCTATCACTGAAGTGACCCTGTGCAAAATGCCATGCATACTCAGCAAATCTTGAAAAGGACTTATCTTTTGGCAAGTTTGCCCAACCGTAACAGATAGGCTGACAATGTTTTGTGCAAAGATAGGGAGGTCAATCTAACTATAAATTATTACAATCTATTCCATGGATTCTGCTCCATTAAAATTATGCTTCACGTGACTTCATTTTTGGCCCTCTCATAACGCATGGCCTGGAGGCAAAGGACAATTTCCTCCTTGACTATTGCCAGCAGACCAAACTCAAGGTTTGTCTACACTACAAAATTAAGTCGACATACAGACACCAAAGTCATTAAGGCAGTGGTTCATGGCCACACTTGCTCCTTCTGTTGATGGTGCATGTCCTCACCAGGAGCGCTTCAACCAACTGAAGTGGGACATTGTGGGGCACTGACAGCTGAAGCCTGGCAGCCCTGGAGCTGACAGCCTCAGCTGTAGGCTCAGGGCTCACAGCTGGCCTACCCTCAGCTGTCTCATGGGCACAGGCTCACAGCTGTGAGCCCCCCACCCCAACAGCAAGAGCTGAGAGCCCTCATGGGGCTTAATTTCACAGTAGGGAGCCTACCAGCAGTGAAATTGACATTCTTGTCAGTTTCTTGGCTGCTATTTCACATTTCAGATCTGACTCCAGCTGTCAGCCTGTGGGTCTCACAGCTGGAACCCCCTCAATCCCCACCCTAGGTACTCACAGCCAGGAGTTGGAGAGGAAACGTGAAACACACCTCTACCCTGATATAACACTGTCCTCGGGAGCCAAAAAAATCTTACAGTGTTATAGGTGAAACCATGTTATATCTAACTTCCTTTGATCCGCCGGAGTGCACAGTCCCACCCCTCCAGAGCACTGCTTTACTACATTATATCGGGTCACATTCTATCGGGGTAGAGGTGTAATAGCAGCTATTAAACTGACAAGAATGTCAGTTTCACTGGTGGTAGGCTCCCTGCTGTGAATCAAGCCCCACACAGGCTCACAGGTGAGGCTGTCAGCCCCTGGGCAAAGGGGGGGGGAAGCTCCCGGTGAGGGATGAAGGGGAGGGGAGGAGAGCCCAAGAGGCAGCAACGGGGGGAGGGGCACCTCACAGCCCATGAGCCTGCACCCTGCTGACAGTTCAGGCTGTCAGCGCCAGGACTAGGGGTGAGGGAGGGCTCCATCCAACTTACTGTTTAAGTAACAGTGTCTACACAGACACTGCATCACTCTAACTACATCGACATAGGCATTACACCTCTCATGGAGGTGGAGTTATGATGTCGGTGCAGCGGGCCACTTACTTTGGCAGAAGCAGCATTGTAGTATAGAAACTGACATAATTAGGTCGATATAAGCTGTTTTCTGTAGACCTAACTCTGTAGTGTAGACCAAGCCCCATTCCTATTTGCAAAGACAAGGGCCAGCAAAAGCACACCTCCCTGCTTTGATCAATGGCACAATACTTGTTCTTTGCTAATCTAATAGTTTTGCTAATCTAATAGCTCACAGTTTTCCCTCTCCACATAGAAAGCACATTTTAGCAATGTGATCCTGTTCTGAATTGAAATCATTTCCTTCAGTTAAAATTCTTAACTGAAGTTATATTCGCATAAGCCTAAATATATGTTTTAGACAAGAAAGGAGAGATTTAATATTGCTAAAATTTCTCTTTTTGCCCAGAATCCTTTTGTACCCCATCTCCTTTGAGCTTGTCTTTAGGTTAAACTTACTTATAAAAACTATCAGAAGATAGTCACATTTAAAGTTTCAAAATGATATCTTATTGCATGTACTTGCTGTCACTTTAAAAATGTGCTGCCCACTAGTTCTGTATCATAGTGCAACATGGGAGCTGGTTGTCACACAATTTAAGATGACAAAAGCAACTTCCTAGATCACTGTGTTAGTTTGAAATTGAACACAATTCAGTGCCTATTCTAACAAGTTTAAAAAAAAACATCTATATTAAAGAGGGCTGAACAAAGAAGTTGCTGCCATAATGTAAAATTTCACACCCTAGGCATTTACAAATTTGCTTCTCTTGTGGCAGCACTGAATACTCCCTTCCCCTGCACACACCTCCCCGCCCCGCCCCCCCCCCGGCCCCAGCATAGCCGTAAGTATGAAAATACTAAATATACAAACTAATTAAAAGTGGCTAATCCAGGATTGCCAGGGCCTTTTTTTGTTTTTAAGACAAGTTTTGCAAGATTTTACCATCAAAGAGAGACTCAAAATTTGCTAACTAACATTGTTTCTCAAACATTAGGGACACAGCTATTAGAGTGAACAAAGATTCTCTACCCCTACAGCTGTTGGGAAGAAAAACTAAATTAGCAGGATTATATTAACTCAAACTAGAAATGTCTATTCATTTAAATATTAAGCAGATGTGCTTTTGTAATTTTTAAATAAAAATTAAGTTGTGCAAGCTAGGTTCAGCCCTCAAGCCCCTGAAAAGTTACTAATATGGCACTTGCAGAATTTGGGCTCTTTGATTTAACCCAATCAGAAGTGTAGTGAAATGACAGAGCAACCAGTCACTGTGCTATTTTTGGACTCCTTTGTGAGCTGCTTTGAGCAGCTAATAGGCATCTTATTTGGTAGCTGATTAGATATGAATGTGAAAGTGTTGATTTAAGACATAGCTGCTCAATAAAAATGCAACACCCATTGTAAATGTTCAGCAATTCCCAGGCATCAAGAATTCAGATGATGTGGCAAGCTACTACTACTGGACAACAAGCAACTGGACACGAGGACATGAGCAGGGACACTTAACACTGGCACACTTAACTGCATCGTTGTAGCTCACGGAACTTGCTGAAGTACTGCCAAAGGACTGCA